TTATTCTGACATGCCCCCAGAGCTAGCTGCGTTCAAAGAAGATATAACTAGAGAGATGCTAGATAAAGATTATGGCACTAGAAAATACAAGAGAGGTCTAGAATGGGAATGGTCAGATGTGTCAGGTTTCTCAAATGTGATCGATTCAAGCTTGAAGGCAGAACCTCTGGACAATCCTCCGAATCTAGAGGATGATCCCGCAGCTGCATATGCTTTTATAAAGTTCTTGACGAACTGATTCAAAAGAATCCTAAGGGTGACACTGCTTATTCGAGTCTGTAGTTCTAGTCAAGAAACAACCTGAGGGCACAAGTTTTCGCGTAAGACTACAGCTCTATGCTTGGTCAACGTCGAGAAAACTAGACAAACCTGCGAGCTCGAAGAAAAATGAGGAGCGCGCGTAAGATAAAATGAAACAAAGTAAAATGATATAAAATTGATTCTTTTCGACACCCTTTACTAACCTGAGGGCACAAGTTTTCGCGTAAGACTACAGCTCTATGCTTGGTCAACGTCGAGAAAACTAGACAAACCTACAGTCATCACAAGACAAGAATAAAGAGTGAAAAACAAGAAATGAGATCAGAAAGATAATGAGAAGTCACTACCTGCGAGCTCGAAGAAAAATGAGGAGCACACGTAAGATAAAATGAAACAAAGTAAAATGATATAAAATCTAATCCAGAGTGATGTATCAGTAAAAACGTAAAAGTGTTGAGAATAGGATGGAGGGAAACTTACTGATTCTTTTCGACACGAAAAGAACCAGAAAAGAGGGACAAAGAGAATTCTACAACAGTAAGCTGATATCCCAAGAAAAACTTTTCAACCAACCCCTTGCTTCACAATTCCAGCTAACCCCTTTCGTCCATTCTTCCTACAATGTTGCCACACACACACGCCCCAACCTACTAACCCTGAATACAATACTGCCAATGACCAAATCGGGAAAATGATCTTTGAACACCTAAATAAGATACCATAATACTTAACCACCTTGTATCTTAACACACCCCCTCAAAGAGCATTTACCCCAAGAAACGTAGACCTAAAAGCTTTCGAAGAGAGGAAAACTGTTCTTTAGGTAGTTGTTTAGTTAACAGATCCGCCACCATTAAGTGCGTAGGACAATGCTTCAACGACAAGTCACCTTTCTTAACTACCTCACGTATCCAGTGGTAATGTATCTCAATGTGCTTGGTACGTGCATGAAAGATGGACTTCGACGTTAAATGAATCGCGCCTAAGTTGTCACTCTGCAGCACAGTTGGATTTGGGTTGGTATAGCCGAAACGAGACATCATGTTTCGAAGCCATAGAAGCTCTTGACCAGCTTCCGTAATCGCCCGGTACTCAGCTTCTGTTGAGGATAATGCTACGGTCGGCTGTAGTCAACTGCGCCAGGAGATGGGACCACCAGCTAAAACAAAAACATAGCCTGTGGTTGATCGACGGGTGGATGGGTCACCTGCCCAGTCTGCATCACAGTGGGATAAGGGGCACTCAAAGCTTCGCTGTCCGGAGACAACACCAATGGAGTTTCCAGAATAGACTATTCCTACATTGACCGTGTGAATGAGATAACGCAGAACATGAACCGCCGAGTCCCAGTGAGTTTTGTTTGGAGCCTCGAGATGTTGAGATAATACCCCAACCGCATGCGCCAAATCAGGACGAGTGCATTGAGCCAAATACATCAGTGAGCCGACAACCCTTCTGTAAGGAAGCTTGGCCTTCGCGAATTCTTCAGCCTCTTCTTCAGTTGGTTTGATTAATTTGATGTTAGGAGATAAGGGAGTAATAGCAGGCTTTGCATTTAGCATATCAAAGCGCTTCAGAACGGTTAAAGCGTACTTTTGCTGACACAAGGAGTAAGTGAAGTCATCAATTCTTGAAATCTCAATTCCCACCACGGTGTGAGCCAAACCCAAGTCTTCCATTTCCCACTTAGAGGAGATTTCCATCTTGAACTTAGCAATGTCGTTTCCCGTGATCGCCAAATCATCCACATGGACATAAACGGCCGTAAACAATTTACCCGCTGAACGAATATAGATGCAGTGATCTATCTCACACTGATAGAAACCGATTTTGATTAGAAAAGCTTCGACGTCATCTTGCCAAATTTTTGGTGATTGTTTGAAGCCATAGAGTGATTTTCTCATTCGCCAGACTTTTCCAACAGTTGACGCCGTGCGATAGCCTTCAGGGATTTCGACATACAGTTCTTCATTAAGGACTCCGTTGAGAAATGCAGTGACAGCGTCCATCTGGTGGATTTCCCAACCATTGATGGATGCGATGGCGATTAGGAGACGCAAAGATCCAGGCTTTCCGGTAGGTGCAAAGGTATCACCGTAGTCTTCTCCAGGGATTTGAGTATTGCCCATGGCAACAAACCTAGCCTTATACTTGATTCTTCCATCTGCAAGAGATTTCTTACGAAACACCCACAACCCTCTGATGACGTGACGATCTTTCGGACGGTCGACCAAAATCCAAACTTCCTTCTCTCGAAGTGAGTTGAATTCCTTGTCACACGCTGCTTGCCACAGTTTAGCTTCAGTTGATTCCATAGCACGTTTATAGGACTTAGGATCAGGAGTTGACATGATATCTGAAACGTTGCATTCAGCCGATAAGCAGGCAAAGAAAGACTCTGTAATAAAATCGTCTTCGAAAATTGCCGATGAGCACATGCCCTTCAGCGTATCATAAACTTTCTTGGCCGGTCGTCCAGAGCGTCGTACTGGTTCTTCAGATTGAGAAATGGGAGGTTGGCTATCTGGAGACTCTAAGGCTGGGGTTTCATTTGGAGGAATAATCGCAGTTGGGATAACAGAGGATGGTTGATCTTCACAGACTTCGTCTTCATCATCAAAGAATCTAAATTTAACTGGTGATTTTGTTGAGATCACTGGTTCTGTGTCTTTGACGGCATGAGCAAGTTTGAAATGAAACACGTCTTTGTTACAAGTCGAGTGGTGAGTAATATACACCTTTCGAGACGCAAGATCAAAGATTTGATAGTTGAAGTTATCGGCCTCAAAGCCAACAAGCACACCTTCAGAACTGACTGGAGAGAATTTTGTCAAACGAAGTTCTTTTCTGATCAAGCCAAAAGCCTGGCAGCCAAACACTCGGAGATGCTGTACAGAAGGTTTACGAAAATGCCACATCTCGAAAGGAGTTTTCCCGTTTTCGAGGGCGGCGGTCACACACCGATTTGTTAAAAACACGGCTGCACTGCAAGCAAAATACCAAAATTTGATGGGTAAAGCTGATTCCAGCATCATCGAACGGGCCCTGGTAGCTACAATGCGCATACCACGTTTGGAAACGCCATTCTCTTCAGGAGCATAGCCAGAAGTGAGATGAAGCGTGATTCCAAGCTCTCTGAGCTTGGGACCGAGTAGACTGTTAAGAAATTCACTTCCTCGGTCCAGAGTGAATTGTTTAAGGGAACACCCTGTTTGCCTTTCGGCTAAGGCAATGTATGCCATGAACACCTCGTAAACCTCTTCTTTTGATTTGTCTCGAAGTGGATAGATGTGGCGGAAGGCGGAGAAATCATCACAGAATAAAACAAAATAACTTTCATTGTTGATTCCAGTTGTTCTAATTATCCCACTCAAGTCAACATGTACATTGTCTAGGAAATTGTGGGCACGAGGCCGAGTTTTGTTATGAGGAAGCTTAGTATTCTTGGACAAGGAGCAAATTTCACAATTTAAATCTTCTTCGATGTAGTTAAACTCCTCCAAGCTCTCATGTTTCGCCATTAACTTGAGGTACTTTTGACTGACATGTCCTAAGCGCCGATGTTGAAGAGATGATGATACTTCAGTTATCGATGCCGAAGGTGAAGTAGAGTGTGAACCACTCACCGGTTGAAGAAGGATGAACATGAGATTATTATCGGATATGAAACCATTAAAAATTGCAAGATCATTTAAAACTAGGGAGAAGTTGGTGCTGTCGTGGAATAATTCTCGGACTCCGAGTTTCTTCAATAATCCGCCGGCAATCAAGTTTCGAGACAGTTCGGGAACATAAAGGGAATTCTTGAGTTCAAACGGTGTTTCGTCACCAGCTAAAAGTTTAGCTACACCACGACTATGAACCGCCAATGACATGTCGCCACCAGCCAATTTAAGGTGTTTGCTCGCGTCTTCAATCTTTATCATGGATGAAGGATTGAAGAACTTCTTATCCTTGAATAAGTGGTGAGTAGCTCCAGTGTTGTGCAAGGCCCAGTCTTTAGAAGAAGATAGAGCAGCTGATACTGAAGCATTAATGATAGAGTCTTCATCGAATTCAGACGGACACGCCAAAACGGACTTGAGATCGGATTCTTTCGAATTTTCATCATCAAATTCAACATTCAAAGACAGGAACGCCATGCTTGCTGAATCTGAGTTAACCCCTGAATCAAACACCCTCTTAACACCTTTGATGGAAGACTGAGTGCTATGAGCAGAAGAATTTGAATTGACAGAAGCACCCCCTGATTTTGCTCTAATCTTGGAGAGGAAGGCGAGTCTTTTGTCGGCGTTTTCAGGCTTAGACCAGCAGTTCTTCGCCAAATGAGGACCAACGCATTCATCCGGGGTACATTCATTTGCGGATTTCTTGGCTTGACGAACAGAAACTGAGTTCACTTCCCGGATGGCTGAGCACGTCCAGCCATGACGCTCTTTGTACTTTCGAAGATAAGTAGCAACGCCTTCTCTGGTGAGAGGAACTACCGTGTTGTGGATGTACTCTTTTGTTTTGACGGAAAGAGAAGGTATAGCGCCCAACAGCATCCTGGCCGATTGGATATCAGACAATTCACCTCTTAATCGGTAGAATTCTCGGACAAGATTTTCGAATTTATCGACGAAAACTGAAAGAGACTCCGTTTTCGAGATTTGACAGGCGTACAAAGTCCTCGTTACAGCTTCAAGTTTATCCTCTGAGACTCGGTTATGGTAGGTTATCAGATAGTTCCAACATTTTTAAGGATTGTAGATAATTTCACAAGCATCATGAGGATCCGTCAGATGATTTCGAGTTCTGACACTATTGGTGGTGTCCAAACAATGGAGAACGAAGGTGGTAAGATTAAACCTCGTTTTCTCGTGTTCTTGTTCAGACAAGCCAGGTTTACGGTAGTTCTCGAGTTTGAAATACTCGTGAAGTTCGAGTGAGCAAAATACTTCCATTAAGGACTGACTCCACTCGATGTAGTTTTCTTCGTTTAGATCATCTGAGACTTTATATTTGCTTAATGCATTGTTCATGATCTGAGAATACTTCTGAATTTGGTCACCGAAAACTCGGGATTCAACTTGTTCAGTCATGGTTGAGTTGGTAGGTTCTTTCAAGTTTGAAGGTCCTGAAAGATCGTCAATAGACAAAGGATTCGTAAGATCCTGTTTGACCGTTCCAAAGGAATCGGATGAACTTGAAGGGCTTGATCCTTCGGTGATAGTAGAATCGTCTTGAAGATTGTCAACGAGATTATTGTCGATTTCTTCAGAGTTCATACAAGCGATTAGGTACTGGTCGAAGAGATCGTATACACTCTCGCTACCATATAAAGTTCTCGACGAACTGATTCAAAAGAATCCTAAGGGTGACACTGCTTATTCGAGTCTGTAGTTCTAGTCAAGAAACAACCTGAGGGCACAAGTTTTCGCGTAAGACTACAGCTCTATGCTTGGTCAACGTCGAGAAAACTAGACAAACCTGCGAGCTCGAAGAAAAATGAGGAGCGCGCGTAAGATAAAATGAAACAAAGTAAAATGATATAAAATTGATTCTTTTCGACACCCTTTACTAACCTGAGGGCACAAGTTTTCGCGTAAGACTACAGCTCTATGCTTGGTCAACGTCGAGAAAACTAGACAAACCTACAGTCATCACAAGACAAGAATAAAGAGTGAAAAACAAGAAATGAGATCAGAAAGATAATGAGAAGTCTGATCTAGAAAGAGAAGTCACTACCTGCGAGCTCGAAGAAAAATGAGGAGCACACGTAAGATAAAATGAAACAAAGTAAAATGATATAAAATCTAATCCAGAGTGATGTATCAGTAAAAACGTAAAAGTGTTGATAATAGGATGGAGGGAAACTTACTGATTCTTTTTGACACGAAAAGAACCAGAAAAGAGGGACAAAGAGAATTCTACAACAGTAAGCTGATATCCCAAGAAAAACTTTTCAACCAACCCCTTGCTTCACAATTCCAGCTAACCCCTTTCGTCCATTCTTCCTACAATGTTGCCACACACACACGCCCCAACCTACTAACCCTGAATACAATACTGCCAATGACCAAATCAGGAAAATGATCTTTGAACACCTAAATAAGATACCATAACACTTAACCACCTTGTATCTTAACAGCTTTACGCCAATATCAGTCCTTTTTCTCTATCGACTGCCCAGTGGATGTCTCCATGTTCAAATTCATTTTACAAGATCATCCTAACCAGCCTTTTGTGGAATCTGTGGTAAAGGGTTTGAAGTCTGGTTTCTTGCCAATGTCTTTGATACCCTCGGATGACGTAGTTTTTGTGAAGAATCACCAGGTGGGCAATCAAGCACCGGAACTTCTTGAGAAAGCTTGTGAGTAGGAATTCAAAGCAAGACGTTACTCAGCGGGTTTCCACACCCTACTACCGGGCATGAAAGTTTCTCCGTTGTTATTAGTAGCAAAGAAGGGCTCGGCAAGATGAGAATGTGCACCAACATGAGTTATGGTAAACCCTCTCTAAACAATTACATTGATAAGGACAAGGGGTGTCTTTCGACTTGCTCATTTCTTCACCTGAGGAGTACAGATGCCTTGGCGCTTAGTCAACCATAAACGTGTACTGTATGGTTGGCTACATGCCGGAAACACCTTATCAGATGCTTTCAGGTGCTCCAGATGACACCTGTATCATCATTTTCACAAGTAAAAATTTCTATCACATTGTTAAACCCCTTCAACAAATCCACACACGCTAATTCAAGGCCCAAAGCCCATGGTAAGGCCTTTGTATATTGACTTGAAAATCTCAAGCACTCTAGGCGCATCAAATCATATCCATCTGGCTATTTACATACACAATACTGTGTGTAGCCAGATGCATCTGGGACCTTTGTTGGGAGGAGTAAGGTGCTTGTAGGTAGGTTAGTCATTAGGTTTACATAGGCATCAAAGCCTGAGAATGTGGATGGTTTGTTGTAGACATTCACAACAAGGAGTGTGAAGCCACTGGGGTATCTTATTGTACACACCCACTATGTCTCTGAA